TGCCCCATTCTAGCTATGGCCTTAATAGGCCTTGGGCTCCCCTCCATTGTAACACATACCACCATCTATGGATTATCCCTATATCTCTACAACCCAAAAAACCATCTTCCCATAAAAAATCACCATCATTCCATGTTCATCAAGCTTTGATAGCTTCGAATTTTAGTAAATTTGGAACATCTGTGCTCCCCAATAAATAATCTTCTAAAATAGCCCCAAATCATTGTGAGAGGACATATTGTTGTTTCAAAATCCAGATCTTGAGAACGGCCTTGTCATCAAATAATGGGTTTTCAAAGAGGTAATCTCTTTCGGGAAGGCAATAGGCAATGCCTCCAACTATTGCGTCATCTGGGTAAGCAAGCTTTCTCAGAAGTCATCTAGGTAAATATTATAACTACAATGGGATTATGAGAACACCTTGCAACCAATAGCCTCCAACTATTGCGTCATCTGGGTAAACGAGCTTTCTCAGAAGCATCTAGGTAACTATTATAACTACAATGGACTATAAGAACAGCTTGCAACCAATACACCCCATAGGATCTCCATTCTCTGAGTGAGAGAGAGAGAGGAGATGAGGGAGGGTAAAGTGTGCTAGAGAGGGGCAATGGGATAGGCCTTCTCTTGATCCACCTATGAGAGAAATCCTCCAATAAATGCATCACACAGAGAGAGGATGGGGGTGAGCAAGGTGTGAGAGAAATCCTCCAACAAAATGCATGAGAGAGAGAGAGGGGGACAGTGGGATAAGAGAGATAGAGAGAGAGAGATGATGGAAGGGAAAGACCCTCAAAATTCAAAACCCCCTCATTTTTTCAATTTTTGAACTGGTCCAAACTGCCCTTGCATGTAGACTTTAGTCTTCTAGTAATATGAGGGCAATGGGGGTAAAAAGGTGGTTCGGTTCATAAGCGATTCTAACTAACCTATGCATTTTAGGTTGTCAAGCATAGAAATGCCCTATATATGTGGCCGTCATCATCATCATCAAGCCTTATTCCAACTAGTTGGGGTCAACTATACAAATCATGTTTCGTCATTCCACTCTACCAAGGGCCATACTCTTAGTCAGACTATTAGTCGCCATATCTCTTTTCACTGTATCCATGTCCTTCTGAGTCTCCCTTTTGCCCTTTTATAGTCTTCCACTTAAAGAAAATCACCCCTCCTAACCGGTTATGTTCTAGGTCGACACTGCACAAGACCATACTACCTAAGTCTACTTTCTCTCATCCTATGGGAGCCACCCCTAAGTTCTCGCATGTATTCATTTCAAATTTTATAATTTTTGTCTTGCCACTCATCCATCTCAATATCCTAATATCAGCTGCATTCATTCTATGGATATGTTGTTTCTTGACCACCCAACATTCTGCCCCATAAAGCATGGCTAGTCTTACAGCCGTCCTATAGAACTTCCCCTTCAGTTTCATTTGTATACGATGATCACATAAGACTCCAAAAGCACTTCTCCACTTCGTCCACCCAGCTCTAATTCTATGATCGACATATTCCTCAATCTCTCTATTCTCATGGATTATTACTTAAGATATAGAAATAATCTCTTTTAGGTACTTCTTGGCCATCAATCTTAACTAATTTCTCGTTTCTTCTCATACTAATACTAAACTTGTATTCTATATATTGTCTTAGTACAATTAATTTTAAAGGGCGTGGTTTGCATAAGGTTGCAACCTTAAACAATCAAAGAAAGGTGCACCTCCAAACTTTGTCATAAGATGCAATTTTGGTGTTTAAAATTCTTAGGATGGCCCAAGAACTTATTTTTACCTATAATTATAAACTTTAAACTCCAAAAATGGTTCAAATCAAGCAGATCTAAAAAATGCATGAAAATCTTGAAAATAGACAATCCAGATGATGTGTTGCAAGATATATTATTTTTGGGACTTGAAATCTCTTTTTTCCAACATCAAAACAACCTTTTGAGAAGGATTATAGAGGTGCACCTTAATTTTACATTTTAAGGTGTCAACCTCATATAAACTTTTTTCAATTTTAAAACATTTAGATTCTGGAGCATCACTCCAAAGATCTAACTTTACGATGATGTCGTCCCTAGTCTCATTAATCAAAGCTATATCATTCGCAAATAAAACACACCACGGTACCTCATCCTGTTGATGCCTAGTTAACTTGTCAATAACCAAAACAAGGAGATATGGGCTCAATGTTGACCTTTGATGTAGGCCTACTCCCACTAAAAATTCACTCGCCTCTCCACTAATTCTCCTCATGCTAGTTAGCATTCCCTCATGCATATCTCTAACCATGTCAATATATCCTCTAGATACTCCTTTCTTTTCCAACATCCACCAAATTAGCTCTCTAGATAACATATCATATGCTCTCTCTCAATCAATAAAGACCATGTGGCAATCTTTCTTCTTCTCCCTGAACTTCTCAATCAATTGCCTAAGTAGGAAAATAGCCACAGTTGTTGACCTATTTGGCATAAAACCGAATTGATATATATATATATATATATATAGGAAAAACCTTAAAATTGGCTATAGGCAAAGTGCTACAGTATTTTGCGACCGCCACGGACTTGCTATGTCCATGACAGTTTATTGAACGGACCCGCAACAGACGGCGCGCCGCCCTTTGCGGTTCTGTGTGATTTTTTGACTGTCACGGACCTAGTATATCAGTGATGGTACGACCATGGATATACTAGGTTCGTGGCAATCGAAAAAAACACGCCGCCTGATTTTTTCGGACAGTGATGAGCCTATGGACGAAAACACTGTTCATTTTCACCCATAGGCGTTGTGTAGTGTGTGTGCGTGTGTGTATATATATATGTTAATCTGATAATAGAACCAGAATTTGTTAAGTATATACTAATATCTGTTCATACCAGTATTGATAAGTATCTATAATATCAGTAGGTGGTAATAGATTGACACATTAGATTAATTGTACGTCTGTACCAAGATCAGAATTCATATGGATATATAACAAAATTGAGGTGATTACCCAAGATGTCAGTGAGGTACTTACACCTTTTCCCTATATTTCATAATTTCTGACAATTTGGTCCCTTCTTAATTCCTTGAGATTCTCTAGCCAACACCATAAGTCATGGAGCAGTCTTGAGTCATCCAAACTACCATCTTGAGTTTGTTTCTTATTTTTCCTATTTCAGAGACATATCAGTTCATCACACAGATTTGCTAAGAAAGAACAGTCTTGAAGTCAAGAGAGGAGACTCCCTCATTATCATTTATAAGTTAACACCCCAAATAATTAGATAGCACGTTCCCAGCCTAATTAGTTCTCACTGCCTGAGTCATAAACAACTTCGATTACAATGACTCCCAACAAAACCATTGACTTTTAGTACAAGAAGTATACAATCAATTCTAGCCATTGGATGTAAAACTTGATGGGTTGGAGTGTATCACAAAGTTCAAAGAATTTTATTTTGTACTTTGTACCCATTCAGTGACATTAGCATCAACCGTCCAATTTCATATCTAATAGTCAGCAAGATTTGTGACCTCCGTATACTAAAAGTAAATGGTCTTATTGTATACTTCATCTTATTGTATACTTCTCCTTTCTTTTATGTACCTCATTTTTAGTACGCAATACACAAGTATCCAGTAATGCGAGTCTGTGAAGCACGGATACTCCTAATTTTTCTTGCATGACTCTTGCAAGTCTGAAGTCTTACAAGAGTCAGTAAGAGAAACAGAATATTCTAGAGAACATCGAAGTTTTACTTGATAAGACTAATTAAGATTACTGAATTTCCTAATGTTATCTCTAATTGGTAGCATATAGCCTTGGATATCAATAATGCCCAGGCAGCGGGAATAGAATCAAGACAAGAGAATTCTATCATCTAGGAAGTTTTTTTTTTCCTTTCAATAAAGCTTGTCAACTATGAAATTTTAAGAAATTACCAAAAGTTATTTGTATTATTATTAATATCTGGAAGGAGGTGTTAATTCTGGGAGTGAGAATACAACCCATATACAAAATTCCTGCAACACACAGATCCAACTTATTCTTCTTGCAACACACAGATAATGATCTTGATTTCCTAAGAAAATTTCAAAATAATATGATCTTAACCATTTAAGGACCGCTCCCGCACCTAGTAGCTTTCCAAAACTCAATATACCATATGATATTCATCTCCAGACAAAAATTTAGGTTTTTGTAATCTCCACCCCCACCCCCCAAAACCACCAAACAAAAAAAACAGAGAGAAAAGAACAAAAGAAAAAACCTAATGTACTTTTTTTTAAAAAAAAAATAATAAACTAGACACCTACTTCCAACTTTTCACTTTGTACGCTTAACTCTTCATGTGAGTATTACAGAGCCATACACTTCCTCCAAACACTGGCTCATCTAGTAAAACATGTAACCCTATTAGGGAGAGACTTATTCTCAGCTTTGTTAATACAAAAAACCCATATTAACTATACATTAATCATTGGAAACTCATAATTCATGAAAAATGAATTTGAGAATTCAAAATCATGCCTCCCCCCAACTAACCAACTGCACTGCATTCGCTTTTATGCTTCTCAACCCGTATTAAAAATCACAACAACACACTTCCTCTGAGCCATTCCCTCCCTTTGTACAACTGGACCACCATATTGGTAGGAGACCCCATTGTTTGGTTAATCTACGTTGTTGGCTTAATGTTTTAACAAGCAACAGTGAATCGAACTGAGTAAATGCAAACCCATTCACCTCTCGGTATATACCAATGAAGAAATTTCCCAGACTGATCCATTGCAAAAAAGAACAGAAAAAACAAAAAGAAATATCAGAAATCAATACGATGTTTTTCCCTTTTTACTTTTCGCTCTTTTTTTTTACGTGAAAACCAAAGTACTAAGCATTGAACTCTGAATATAAACCAATGAAATGCTACAAATTGACTTCTGAAAAACAGTATACACATATGGTACATCCTTCATATATGAATCCATCAAGACCAAAGAAACTAATGAAAGTAGTTCTTTTATTCTATTATCAAGCAATAAAGAATACTTGTTTTGGTTGGCCACCTCAGGAAAGAACTTAAAATTTTCTTCTGAAATAGACCAAAATTGTGGAGAATATAAATGAAAAACTATGACCTCAGTATATGTCTGGGAATCTTGTGTTTTACAGGCCTCAAAAGGCATGAGGTGGAATAAGAACGGGAAATTTTCAAGTTGGAAGACTTTCTTGTTGTATTTGGAGAAAAATAAACAATCATGTCTCCCGATGCAAAGCACGGGAGAAATAAACTCTGATCGATATTATAAGGTGGCACAGCATATCTTGCACTCATAAAGACATAAATTGGAAAGTTGGATAGAAGACCTAAAATCATCACAAATCACAATAACACGAGCATAAAACTGAACCTCAATCACAAGCAGATTGGAAGCCACTCACCAAGTGTACCATTTAAATGAGTTTTCAGTACACAGCCAAAGGTAACCCTGGTCCCGACTGTCATGGCTAAATTATTAGAATTGCAAAAGGGGTTGCCCTAAAGAGTTATAGAGGACCCTTGTTTGGCCAAGAGATGCTAGAAGGCCTAAAGCAAACAAAGATCTTTATATCATATTTTGACCAATGAATATGAAGGCCTGGCTATCATGAGGTAATCACTGATACGTTCACAGAGAGAGATCTCAATCAACCCATAGAGACTCAGAGATAATTTTTCTGTGATTAATTATTTTTGTATGATTTGTATATTAGAATTTCATTCATGTATCAAGGGAAGCAAAAGAAAACAAATTTGAACAATTTGGGTCTGGCTCGGGTTAGGAAGAGGTGGAAAACTTTACCCAACGTAATGCACCGATGTGATCTTCATGACCATGTGTTATAACTGCTTCAATTTTGTGGCTCCATCTTTTGAAGAAGGTGGAATCAGGTATAACTTTATGGACACCAAGCTCATCATAGGTAACATGCAAGACAAAGAATCTGTTGAGGACATCAATAATCAGCATTGCAGTATATACCAAATATCTAACATAATTACATCCCAGTATAAGGCTAAAATTTGCAACTGTCTTTTTGGTAGGTCTGCTTGTTTGCAAGAGGGAGGTTCGAACCTAGACCTCTCTCATGCAAACAGGGTGCCTCACCATTAGACCAAAGACCTCGGTTAACTACACAAGGTTAAACTTGAACTCAATAAATTCAAGTAGCAGCAAACAACCCTAGCTAGATACATCAATAACTCCCTAAAGCAGGATGCCACAAAACATTTAATTCTTCCAAATCAAGCTTGCACTATTCTCTCTCAACAAGAACAAAATAACCAGGATATCTGCTGTTAACGGGAAAAAAACTCAAAACAAAACCGTCAGTAAGAGCTTATCCAGAAAGCAAAAAGGAACACAAAATGAAACTGTAAGAAACCACCTTAATGAGGAAACTTCATATGCTGTAAGAAACCACCTTAATGAGGAAACTTCATATGCTGCAGTCCACTTGATAAAAACATGCATGAACTGCCACTATAAATGCATGTACTGATCCCATGATAGAAAAACTGAGCGCTACGATCTGCATTCCCTTATTTTCTTCCATTTCTTTTCCTCCTTTGATAATTGAGAGTCATCCATCCATTACCAAATCTTATATCTTAAGGTATTGAACTTTCACCATGTTTTATAACTTCATCAACCATAGCGAATTCATAAATAAACTTCATCCCAAATAAAGAATCAATTAATAAAACTCTAAACCAGCCCATCAATCCAATTATCTAATTACTTGGAGCATGAGTCCACCCCTCATCTACTTTACCACTCAATCCATCATCAACAAAGTCGCCTAAATGCTTTATCTTCACATCCCTTGGAGGAACCGGATAATCCCCAGAAAAGCAAGCATAGCAAAACTCTGACCCCCCCATGAATTTCTTCAAGCTCTCCAATGGCAAAAATGCAAGAGAATCAGACCCAATAAACTCTCTAACCTTTTCAACATTCATCTTATTAGAAATCAACTCATCAGGGCTCGGCGTATCAACCCCATAAAAGCAAGATCCAATGATGGGTGGGCTTGCAATTCTCATATGAACCTCCTTAGCCCCTGCTTCCTTGATCAACCTAACAATCTTAGAGCTTGTGGTTCCTCTCACTATTGAGTCATCAACGACCACCACTCTCTTCCCCTCTAACACATCTCGAACCGGCGCTAATTTTAGCTTGACCCCAAAATCCCGAATCCTCTGAGAGGGCTCGATAAACGTGCGACCAACATAATGAGATCGAATTAGGCCTTGTTGGAATGGGACACCAGCCATGGCTGCATAGCCCAATGCAGCAACCACACCAGAGTCAGGAACTGCTATAACAACATCACATTCAACCGGTGCCTCTTTAGCTAGAATTTGGCCAATTGTATATCGAGATTTATAGACCGATTTTCCAAAAACTACTGAATTGGGGAGAGAGAAATAGATATGCTCGAAAACACAAGGCTTGGGTTCTCTATGGGGGAGGAGACATAGGGAACTCACTCCTTCAGCATTATCGACTATTATAACTTCACCAGGATTCACTTCTCTCTCATATTTCGCCTCTATGAGGTCCAGAGCGCAGGTTTCAGAGGCAAACACAACTGCCCCATTTTCGCGCCTGCCCATAACAAGGGGGCGAAAACCATGGGGATCCCTAACAGCTACTAATTTATCCTCTGTTATAAAAACCATGGAGTAAGCTCCTTCTAATTGTTTACAGGCATTAACAATGCGCAAAAAGAAGGGCCTTTCTTTAGAGATGGCAATTAAATGGAGAACTACCTCTGTATCAGACGAAGTGTTAAAGATGGAACCTTGGTCCTCGAGAGTATCTCGAAGGGTTCGGTAGTTGACGAGATTTCCGTTGTGGGCTACCCCAACTGAGCCGAAGCGATAGCCTGCAACAAAGGGCTGGACGTTCTTGAGCATGGAGGAACCAGCTGTGGAGTATCGAACATGGCCAATGGCTGATGAACCCGGTAACTGAGCAAGCTTTGATTGACTGAAGACATCAGAAACCAAACCAGTACCAGTAACCGAGTGGAGAACATTGTTGTTGACTGAAACTATGCCTGCTCCCTCTTGGCCTCTGTGCTGAAGAGCATGGAGAGCCAAGTAACAAAGTCTCGATGCTTCAGGGTCGCCATAGATGCCCACAACACCACATTCTTCTCTCGGGTGATCATCTTCCACAAGCTGTCTCTGCAAAAATGGGTTTTGAGAGGAATCATGAGATGGGTTGTTGGGAGAAGAGGATTTTGGAGATGGGTTTTCAGTTTCACAGAAGTATGATGGATTTTCGGGCTCCTCTAATGGGTTTTGACTCAACGCCCGGATTCTTGATGGGTTTGCTTTGTGGGTTCTAGACAGAGTTGCAGAAGAGAGATGGGCTTTAGAGGGATGAAGAGCTGGAGGGCAAGTTTTAGAGAGAGAGGGAGAAGAACACGGGAAAGCAGTTGCAGGAAGGTGAGGTTTAGAGAGATGCAAGGTGGGGTTAGTTGAGGAGAGAGAGCGGAATTTGGATGATGAGAGAGGACAGAAAACGCCAGCCATTTCTGTTTATTGATTCTTGCCCGAGTACAGGAAACGAGAGGTCTTCGCCTTTTAGAGAGAGAGAGAGAGAACCAGAGATTTTTGCCCGTTTTTAGAGAGCGACAGAGGCGCGCCAAACGGTGGAGGCAAAGGAAAAAACCAGAGTATACTTTTAGGAGCCAAACTAATATATGATCCCGCGGGAGCATATAGTACTCGTAATAACCCTGTGTAGTAAAACTCTGTATATCAATATTTGGAAACGTAAGCTCCTCCAAAAACAAAAAGAAAATGGGGGTGAAAAAGGCAAGCGCACATGATTTATTACTGAAATGAGGCAAAAACAAAAAGAAATGATAACTCAATTTTATACTACTGAACCAAGAAAGAATTATGCGTATGAAATTGAGATATGAGACCACTTATCTTTTATATAAAGTGGTCACAATTACCCCCATTAGAAATAATACTTTAATTTTATATTTTTGAAAGCCTTTAGATGTTCAATTGCATGGCTTGGGGTGTGTTACGAATTACGAGAATATATTTTTAAAATTTTGAAATTAGTCAATAACATATTGACAACCACGTAATTTGAAATCTAAAAGACAAGAATGACGGTGTTTTGTCTCTACTAAAAGTAAATAAATCTTTATATACTTTTCCAATAAATAAATAATGTCTTGGATTCGATACCCCAACTTTTGGATAGTCGGATTTAAATATTTATGAACTCAATCTAGTTTTTATAAAAACAAATATACACATCCAAGGGTTACACCTAAGTCTAGCCGAACACAAAAATCTAATAATAAAAAAAATTTATATATCATGATTAAAGAGGATCTCAAAATTTCATATGAAGAAAATCTAATTTTTGTGATAGTGAGTAAGTATACAATGTGCTCGTTTGGGAGTATGCCATGCGCTATAGAAAACGAAAAAGTTGAGCTCCTTTAGGGTTGAAAGGCAGTTTCAGCCAAATTTTTCCCGAAAGGCCAAAAAGGCTCCGCCTTTTTAGACTTTTCGAGAACATAACGAAACGGGAGGCCCATTTCATTTCTGTTTTATAACGGTTGTAACCGGTATATTCTGAAAATCGGAGTTTCAAGTGTGAGAAACAATAGACGGGAAAAAGGAAAACTAAAGAAAAATAAATTAAAATAAAAAATCCCACGTTTTAGAACTTGTAATTCCAAAATGAGGATATTTGGGGGGAGGGGGGAAGTTGTTTCATGAGGGGGGAACCACATTTCTACATTTGTGTACCCGAGGTATAAAGCATCCATTTTAAAGAAGGATGCAAATAGGTGATCCATCTAAACATAATTAAAACTAAGAGTGCATATGTTTTATTAATAGGATTATTATTTTTAATTTTCAAATTTATTTATTTTTTCATATTCATGATCTTCATGTTAGAAATTACATCTCTCTAAAAATTAAATCCAAAAATCCATATCAAAAATAAACTTTTAAGAGGTGACTCATTTTTACATGGACTTATAGAGACCATGTCCTATTTTGGAAAAATTAAAAAAACACAATAAAAATGGACGCCATGGTAAAATATAGAATATGGTGATCATTTTTACGGGATTGTCTACAAAGAGAACATTTTTTTTTTTTACACAGTTTATATGAGTCCATGTAGAAATGAGCCACCTCGTAAAATTTATTTTTGAGATGGATTTTTTAACTTAATTTTTAAGGGCATGTAATCTCTAACATAGAGATCATGAATATGAAAAAATAAATAAAATTTGAAAAGTATAAATAATAATTCTATTAAGAAAATATTTGAACTGTTAATTTCAATTGTTTTAATATGGACCACCTATTTGCATCCATCTTTAAGATATATGCTTTATACCTTGGGACTGCATATTGTAGAAATGCAATCCAGCTAGCATGAAACAATTTTCTTTTATCTTTTATACATAGAAGTCACAATCATTCTTGTCCCTTGAATTTCAAAATGGGTGGTTATAAGAGTGTTATTGAATAGATATAAAGTTCCAAAAAAAAATTCTCGAACTTTGTGACTCATTCCAACCTATCCAATTTGACATCTAATGAGTGGGAAGCGATTATAACCTCTATGTTAAATAAACAAATGGTCTCTTTATAGACAAGGGCGTGGTTTGTATAGAGCCAAGGCTCTAAACCATTAAAGTAAAACGCACCCTCAAATAGTATCAATAAATGTGGTTTCAATACTGGAAATCTATGTGATAGCATTAAAATATCTTTCCATCCTTCATTATAAAATTTAAAGCTTAAAAAATAGTGTAGATCGAGCAGATCTATGAAAACTTAAAAAGCTTGAAAGTTGACGGTCCAAAAATACATTAGAAGACACACTATTTCCAAAACTTGTGCATTTTGATGTCCAGATGATCAATTTGATGATATTTGAGTATCAGAACAACATCTTGTAGTGAAATTTTTAAGGTGAGCTCTAATGCGATAGTTAGAGCCTCGGCTCTATATAAACTTTTCCCTATAGGACCATCCCTATTATTAAATACCACTAATTATACAGGATATTAGCTAAAATTTCTCCAAGGAAAAAACCGATAAATTAAGGAAAATCACACAGGACTACGAATGACGTTGAATAAAAGAAAACAAGAAAATGTATTGTTTAACTTTTTGTATAAAAAAAAAAAGTCATTTTCTCATAATAACTCATATTTTTTTCCTATTGACATGGTTTGTTTTTCTTTTGAAAAAAGTATTTCCTTATTGGGAAAGTTACCTTATTTATTTCTTGGTCAAACTTGAGGAATCAAACCTAGGATCAAAAACTGGCCGTTATAACTTAAATAAGAAGTTATATGAAGATAATTGATACTGCTTGGGTAGGGGACCCTCCTTTATAATGGTCGTTACCACTATAAAATGGTAACGGGCCAGCCCCAATCCGTTACATTATAATATTTTCTAAACCTTCATAACCCCTCATCTCTACATCTAGGAAGCAACTTGGGGAAACTCTAGTTCAACCTTCAAAAAAATAAGAAAAATAAGATGAATTCCAATGGTACTAGGACTTGAGAATTTTTTGGATCAGGTTCGGATCCACCCAAATCCAATTTCAGATCCAAAAATATACATCCGATCCAGATCCACTCGGATCAAGAATATTCGGATTTGGATCCACATCTGAAACTATATCTAGGATCTGGATCTAAATTCGGATCCAAATCAGTTCCAATTTTGTATATGATAAAGTTAAAATATAATTGTGAAAGTTATAATAATTATATAGTATCTATATAAGTTAATAAATATATAAATTCTAATATATATATATATATATATATATATATATATATATAGAAA